ACATATATATGGAATTTAGAAAGATGGTAATGATAACCCTATATGCAAGACAGAAAAAGAGACACAGATGTATAGAACAGACTTTTGGACTCTATGGGAGAAGGTGAGGGTGGGATGATCTGAGAGAACAGCATCAAAACATGTATATTATCAAGTGTGAAACAGATCACCAGTCCAGGCTGGATGCATGAGACAAGTGCTCGGGGCTGGTGCACTGGGATGACCCAGAGAGATGGGATGGGGAGGGAGGTGGGTTCAGGATGGGGAACACATGTAAATCCATGGCTGATTCATGTCAATGTATGGCAAAAACCACTACAATATTGTAAAGTAATTAGCTTCCTACTAATAAAAATAATTGGGAAAAATAAATAAATAAATAAAAAGGTATTTGATGATGGCTTTTTTAAGACTTGGTAAACATACCAAAAAACTCAGCTATTTTTCAGTTCCTCACTTTTGGCAGAGAAAGCATTTTACTTACATACCTGTATATGCCTAATCACTTATTTAACACTGACAGTTTGTGCTACAGAAAATAAAACTATAGTAGCTAGATTTATAATAGCTAAAGAAATTTAAGAGAAACCATTGAGATTTTTGATGGGAGTAACATATTTTAAAAAGTAATTAGAATTCTAATTAGAAAAGGCAGAGGAACCAGAGACCAAATTGCCAACACTCAATGGATCACAGAAAAAGCAAGAGAATTCCAGAAAAACCATCTACTTCTGCTTCACTGACTACACTAAAACCTCTGATTGTGTGGATCACAACAAACTATGGAAAACTCTTAAAGAGATGGGAATACCAGACTACCTTACCTGTCTCCTGAGAAACCTGTATGCAGGTCAAGAATCAACCGTTAGAATCAGACATGGAACAATGGACTGGTTCCAAATTGGGAAAAAGTACGTCAAGGCTGTATATTGTCATCCTGCTTATTTAACTTCTATGCAGAGTATATCAGGCTAAATGCCAGGCTGATTGAAGCACAAGCTGGAATTAAGACTGTAGGGAGAAATATCAATAATCTCAGATATGCAGATGATACCACCCTTACGGCAGAAAGTGAAGAGGAACTAAAGAGTTTCTGGGTGAAAGTGAAAGAGGAGAGTGAAAAAGCTGGCTTAAAACTCAACATTCAAAAAACAAAGATCATGGCATCTGGCCCCATCACTTCATGGCAAATAGATGGGGGAAACAAAGCAAATGGTGACAGACTTTATTTTCTTGGGCTCCAAAATCAATGCAGATGGTGACTGCAGCCACAAAATTAAAAGACACTTGCTCTTTGGAAGAAAAGCTATGACAAACTTAGACAGCATATTAAAAAGCAGAGACATTTACTTTGCCGACAAAAGTCCATATAGTCAAAGTTACAGTTTTTCTAGTAGTCATGTATGGATGTGAGAGCTGGACAATAAAGAAAGCATCAGTCTGACTGATGTCCAAAAAGGATACTTTTGTTGGCATGAGCACACAACCGATTAAATAAATAAAACTGATGCTTTTGAACTGTGGTGTCGGAGAAGACTCTTGAGAGACCCTTGGACTGCAAGGAGATCAAATCAGTCAATCCTAAAGGAAATCAATCCTGAATATTCATTGGAAGGACTGATGCTGAAACTGAAGTTCCAATACTTTGGTCAGCTGATGTGAAGAACTGACTCATCAGAAAAGACCCTGATGCTGGGGAAGACTGAAGGCAGGAGAAGGGGATGACAGAGGATGAGATAGTTGGATGGCATCACTGACTCGATGAACATGAGTTTGAGCAAGCTCTGGGAATTGGTTATGGACAGGGAAGCCTGTGGTGCTGCAGTCCATGGGGTTGCAAAGAGTCAGACATGACTAAGCAACTGAACTGAGAATTAGAATACCTCACAATACACTGGGGAGAGATGGGCAGAAAATAATGTGACACATACAACTAGTCAGAAACAAAGTCAGGAATTAAAATCAAGAGAAATAAAGCTGCACTACAACAAAGTCTATGATAGCACTTTGGTTCACTAATCATATGGATATTGACTGAAAAACAAGCAAAGGGGGCTAGGGATATATTCTGGAAAGGAAAAAGTGGAGGGAAAAAAGAGAAAAAGGATGGGAACAATGCATTAGAGCTCTCTATGACTGACGACTTACTGCCCAGAAGCATATTTAACATGATATGTGACCCATAACCCTGAAAATCCGTTTTTACCAATAATATTCTTTTAAACATTTTTTTTTAACATGGACCATGTTTAAAGTCTTTATTGAATTTGTTACAATACTGCTTCTGTTTTATGTTTCAGTTTTTTAGCCATAAGGCATGTGGGATTTTTAGCTTCCCAACAGGGATCAAACCTGGACCCTTGCATTGGAAGGCAAAGTCTTAAACACTGGACTGCCAGGGAAGTCCCTATTTTACTAACAATCTTTATGTTTTTAATTAAAAGCTAAAGAGCCACTCAATGTTATTCTTCCACATTTTAAGAAAAAAAGAAGGTCGGCTTTCTCTCTTGATTTTATTTAGGCTTTTCTATATACCTAAAATCCAGCCCTTTTTATAATACTGTTATAATACTTATGTATTACTTATGTAATACTTATATATTTAAGCACAGGTCAAAAAACCCATGGTTTTAAAATTTAACAACCATCAAAACTTCTTATCTCATCCTATAAATTACCCTGATAACTATTCCAGTATGCTTGCCATCATAAAATAAATATGCAACATAAAATGTTGTACAGACTCACTCATTTGCAGAGTATTGATTCAAATTATTTTTATGCTTTTCTGTAAAAAATTAAGTGATCCAACCTACTTTTTCAGCTCAAATGCTAACATTTTCAGGCACTCTACCCTATGCTTACCTAGATTATTGCTATTAAACTACTAATGAAACAGTCCTTTTGTTCCTGGCTACTGACACTTCTGTTGGGATGAGCATGCAACCGATTAAAGTATTCTCCCAAAGAGAGGTATATAGCTAACAAACTAAATGATGAGAACAAACGAAAGGACTCAGTTTCAGGTCTCACAAATAAATGAAGAAAGCAAGAAAGAGCAATGTGAACTGCTCTAAGCGATAAGTATCCCAGCCTAAAAGCACAGGCAATTGAGAACCACACATACATCACGGGACCAAACACTGCCACCTGACGGGACTGCACTGTTAGGGAAGATAAGACCTGAATAGACAGGCAAAGACCCCGGCATCCCACAGTAATCCCAATGCGGGGATCCAGGTAATGTATCTAACAGAACCGTACCCAATGTAAGGAGTCTCTATGGAGAAACTCACATGTGGAGAAAAAAGTTGTACATGACAAAAGCACTTCAACATGGATTCCTCCAGATATATGTCACTGACAGTCACATGTGTCAAGTTCATTGCCACTAGCACCCAAGGACTAAGTGAATTAAGTAAATCATGCTGTAAATAGCTTGCTCCAATAAATTTTTAAGTTTATAAAGATCCCTGCCACAATGACATTTGTTTTAACAGGATGTGACCTGAATCCTCTATAAGTGAACAGTTTGTTATGACACAAAAAGGAACAATCATGTTTAATAGGGAAAGCTTAAGGGAAAGGTGTCAAAAACAACTTTAAATAAACATGTACTTCAGTAATAATTTTGAAATCTTGTGTGTAATGATCAGCAGTGAAAATACACCCAAAGAATAGATGTGGATTATGCTGTGAAGCAGCAAAGCTTTGAAGTTTAAAATGTGGCCAGTAATTTAGAACTTCTATATATGAACTAATGAAATGTTCGAAGGAATGAAGTGCTTCAGGACAAATCTATCCGTACCAACATTCTATGGTCTAGTTCTCTGCTTCATGGCAGAATTATATATTTTATTGTTGTATGACACTTAAATGAGAACCAGACCTTCCAATAAAATTCAATTTTGGGAAAAAGAAAAAAAATAATAAAGAGATTCTTCTGGCTTCAGTCAAATAAGCATGTCACCAAAGTATATTTTTTAATTAAAGAAGGGATATTTTGGCTTCCAATGTTTTGGAATGACTTCTCAGGCAGCTGAATGTTGACATAAACATAATACATTTAAACCACCAGTTAAGATTGGCACTTAGAAATAACTAACCAGGTCGTTTTTCTTCCTCTTGTTCTGTTTCTGTAGATGAAGGCAGTCTGCTACATCTTCTATTCAAAGATGAACTTCGCCTTTTTTCTTGTGTTTCTGGAGATCAAAGGCAAAGAAATAATACTTTTTAAGAAAATTAAGAAAAATTTTTGGCCATGCCACATAGTATGTGGGATCTTAGTTCCCCAACCAGAGATCGAACCCACAACCCCTGCATTAGGAGCATGGAGTCTTAACCAGTGGACCGCAAGAGAAGTCCAGGAACATTACTATTTATAAGCCATTTAAACAGATTCCTTCAGGAGTGAGCCACTCCTTTTTTCCAAACTTTTTTTTTTATCTTCTCTTCATTGTAAGAATTTTTTTAAATTTCAAGTACTATGAAGAGATTCTACATGCCCAGAGTTAAAACCAGGTTACTCTTTAAGTAAGTTAACATTTAAGTGATTAAATGTTGCTAATACAGCATCATTTGAAAATTCTACTGATAAATGTAATTGCACAGCACAATCTACAGCTGCTGCTGCTGCTAAGTTGCTTCAGTCGTGTCCGACTCTGTGGGACCCCACAGACGGCAGCCCAGCAGGCTCCCCCATACCTGGGATTCTCCAGACAAGAACACTGGAGTGGGTTGCCATTTCCTTCTCCAATGCATGAAAGTGAAAACTGAAAGTGAAGTCGTTCAGTCGTGTCCGACTCCTAGCGACTCCATAGATTGCAGCCTACAAGGCTCCTCTATCCATGGGATTTTCTAGGCAAGAGTACTGGAGTGGGGTGCCACTGCCTTCTCCAACGACCCACAGAAATGTAATTAATTCAATCATATGATGAGATCACCTATACCTTACTATCACATTGCAAGAAATGACAAAATAGTGTAAAGTTATGGTAAGTCAGCACTGAGTAGAAGAAAAACAGATTATTTGAATCAGTCAAGATTTAAAGAAAGGCTATTTAGGAACTTCCCTAGTGGTCCAGTGATTAAGGCTGTATTTTCACTGCAGAGGGCGTGGGTTTGATCCTTATTCAGGGAGCTAAGATCCTGCATGCTACACACACAGCACAGCCAAACATATTTTTAAAAAAATTAAAATATAAAGCAAGCTATTTAAAACATCACAGGTTAGATTATGAACTTCATTTGAGTTTGAAATGTTCATCTCTCTGGATTGAACAGGTTTTATTTCAGTTTGAAGGGATTTTACAAAGGTAAGCCAGTGAAAATATTGATTTTCATTTTCTGTGGAATAATTACAGCATTCATCATTTCAGAGTGTGTAATATACTATACCTTTAAGCAAGTTATTTCATAAAGTATCTTCCACACATACCTTCTCGGATTACAAACAAGTAAAGATATCATTTAAAAAATTACTTGGAATTGTTCCTTCAGTGTAATTTAACTCATTACTAACTTGGAAGTCATCACCTGTCCCTTTTCTTTACATGCTTCACTAATACAGCAGGTACACATATTAACGAAAACACCCGAGTGTTTGCTCACTATATTAAAAATATTAAAAATGTCTGTGGAGAAATCTTTGCTAATTCCTCCAATCAATTAGATAGTAAAACAGGGTCAACGCTTGTGAAACAATTAAAATAAAATGAAAGTATACACATATGATGTTGCAATGAATGTTATCTAATTTTTCTAAAGGATTGAGCTTGTGAATAATAAATTCATTTTATTATATGACAAGCAAGATGCTAAAGAAAATCTTCCCATATTAATCTATGAATGAACCTGGGCTATACGTAAAAGTGCTCTGGAAAAGCATACTAAGGTTAATGATGGAAAGTGGATCAACTTCTGTTGGACTATTTATTACAAGAGAAAATGAGATGCATCAAAACTGACAAATAACGAAAGATCTCTCAAATTCATTGTTGAAAATTTTAAGAGTTCTAAAAGTACAAATGATGTAATTTAAGTATAAACAAAACAAAAAATCCTTTTTCAACATATATTTAGACAAAAATGGAAATCGTTCCCACTAAGTTAACCACTGCTACAATTAACTAATTATATGCTTTAAATGATATCCAGAATCTTTCTCCACACTGGAATTTTAGAGCAATCAGCATGCTCAAAAAATGCTCAGACACCTAATAACACAGAAGAAACATTTTTAATTCAAACTATAATTATGCCTTTGTTTCAATTCACAAGGTACAAAAATGGTATATCTTTTCTACAGCCAAGTTTGAGGGAATGAAGTGGAATATGTTTGCCATGTCTCTCCTGCAAAGATCATGTCTGTTTTTTTCTCTGGAAAGAAAAAGGATTTTTTTTTTGTTGGGTATGGTTATCTAATCCAATTCAACTATCAGTGAGAAGCACCATGTAGTAGAAGCCAGATATGGTCACCGACACACTCAGGTAAAGATTTTTAAAAAAAAATAAGGAACGCTAGGGAATTCCCTGGTGGTCCAGTCATTAGAACTCACACTTTCACTGCCAAGGGTGCATGTTCAATTCCTGGCCAAGAAACTAAGGAGTGCTAATTAAAAGGGCAAATACCAGGAGCAAAATGTATTTGAAGTATCTGCAGTAGATAAGTTTTATTTTATTTTAAAGAGCACTATATTACCTCTACAAAGAGTTGTGTAAAGTAGAGCTTAGAAATACTCTTTCATTAACACTGTTAAAAAACCACTTTATTTGCTTTGGGGAAACACACAGACTTGTTAGTGGAATGTACAGTTTAAAACCATGATCAAATGACAAAAAAATTATGATCAGATGACCAAAATATAAACCACAGAAGAGCAGGGTGGAATGGAAATCACTGAATTTCATGGGGTCTTCATTATAAAATAGGAAGGTAACTTGCTTGTCAACTTTACATATATATGAAGCAGATCAACCTGTCCACTGCTATATATATGCTATTATTTTTCTTAAATTAGGTAACATTCATGAAACTTAACGGAAATTGAATGGACTACTCCAGTTTCTGGAAAAACGGATTTCAGTTTTAGGTTAGACAGAATATGGATTAATTTTAAAATAAATTATTGTGCCACTTAATGGCAATGTCTTTGGGTCAAAATATATTTCATAGCTGTTGGGCTACCTGAGCCCAACAAACCCATCTGATACGATTAGTACACAAACCAAGAAACAAGGGGCTTCTCTGGTGGCGCAGTGGTGGAGAGTCTGCCTGCCAATGCAGGGGACATGGGTTGGATTCCTGATCTGGGAGGATCCCACATGCTTTGGAGCAACTAAGTACGTGTGCCACAACTACTGAAGCCCGTGCACCCTAGGGCTCATGCTCTACAACAAGGGAAGCCACCACAATGAGGGGCCTATGCACTGCAACTATAGTGTAGCCCCTGCTCACTGAAACTAGAGAAAAGCCCAAGAAGCAACAAAGACCCAGCATAGCCAAAAATTTTTAAAAAATTATTTTTAAAAAGAAACAGGGATTTATACTGATGAAAATACAAAAAAGTAATGACCGTCTTTACTGTGAAACAACGTGGTGCTTTTCTAAAATAAATCTAAATGTCCTACGATCTAAAGAGTAAGTGGTACTGTAGAAATACATATAAAGACTTGATTTCACTGGTTTGAAACTAAGTAAAATACATGAAATAAATACTTACTCTTGGCAACAGAATTTTGAAGACCAGTAGATGACATTTGTTTGTGTAATCCACAAGTCCCCTGCTCAAGCTTTTCAGTAGATGTAGAATGTTTATTGACTGAGAAAAGATGCAAGATTTACTGTACTCATATTTAAAAAAGCATCATTAGCTGAAACAAGATGAGCTCATGATGCACTTATACAGAGCACAAACATGTATTAATTAGGTACACAATGCTGTCAATCATTCCTTATAAATTATGAAAACTTAACTTACATTTTATGCAATTGCTTAGAATTACATCCACACATAGGAAAAATTATAGTACATCATTAGTAAACAGGGCAATTCATTTTTAAAATATGCACTGGCTAAAGCTGTGTAAAGCTTATCAATTATCATTTATTTTTACAGAGATTACAAGTTTAAATGGTAAGATTTTGGATATACTGTGTAAAATAAAGTTATTATAAAATTTCACCTGTTTCTTTGGCAATCTCACATGACACAAATTTAAATGCATGCCAAAGAGTACATGGCAGTGTTTTCACTTAGGATACAAAGCTGAGAATCCGTTGTAAATGCAACCTTATACTAATAGCCAATATTTACATGTGAAAATGAATGAACTTAAAAGTTTAGCAGTTGTATTAATTACCAGTCTTATTTTGGGAATTGATTGTTGTACAACCCTCCCATGACCATCTTTTTGAGCGGCTAATGTGGCTGCTCCTCTCCAGTGTACGGTGAAGGACGGCTTTGACTTTCTCCTATTTAAAATAAAAGCCAATAAACATTTACGGATGTATTATATTCACTAGTGTAATTCTGATCTATCAGTTATAAAATACCCCCACCACCAAATTTTTTAATCAGGCAAAATTTTTTTTATAAAAGAGAAAAGTTAAAATTGGAAACATCTCAGGTATGAATCCGTACTTTCCCAACTAAGTAGGTTTTAATCTTATGGATATAAATCGAGAAACTGACCATGCTTCCCTCTTTGCTTATATCATTAGGAAATTTAGAAATAAAAGTGTAGCCTATTCCAGCAACTATACAAGGACTGAGTAGTACGCTTTGATGTATGCTAATCGTATCTTATGTTTTATTATTTTCTTACTTTAATTCCCCCCTCCGCTTGATTCCCTCAAACATTTATTTTTTCATCTGGTTGTGGTATATAGTTTTTAAAATATACCTTAAATTCTTTGTAGAATGAGGCAGTATAAAAAAATCAGCCAATACACACAAGTGAAACTATGCCAGATCATCTATTATACCCATATTTCTAACTTCTTAAATTCTGGTGTTAACTAATCAAGTGTTTAAAAAGAGCTGTGTTTGTCTTGACCTCAGCTTTAGTCTAAACTGTGCAAGATAACAGGTCTACGAATGCAAATGCTACACAGTGGCAAAACAGCGCCACTGTCAGAAATGAGATGCAGTTTTCTATTCCTCATCTCTGTGCTGTAACATACCATGGATTACACTCACGTAAGCAAATCAACCTCAGGGCCAGAAAGTTTTCTATTCTTCCCTGACAACAACTGTTTCATAGCAACATCATCCTTACAATGTTCCCACAGTTTAGAGGGTGAACATATTAGGAAAATGGAGTCATCCATATCCTCTGAGGAGAAAAGCAACTGCAATTTTAAAATGAAACTTACCTAATGACAATATTTTAAATTATATTTTCTAACAGAAAGGAAGTTGTTGTAAATTACTTAGACACCCCAGAAGTACAATAAAGATTAAAAACAGCATATTCTTGTATTATTAAAACCTCTCTCCTAAGCACTCTATTTGCTGTTTCCAGATGTGCTGACCCTCCATGCTCTTTCAGGTTCCTTCTGGCATCTGTGGCTCAGGTGCAAGCTCCTGTCCTCTTTCCCATATGCCCCCGTCCATACTCGCCCCTCCTCACCACCACTGAGTTTGGGGTTTTTTCCTGCTCTACTGAATCATTCCCTTTTTCTATGTGCAGCCTCCTCAGTGATGTTCGGTCCCTGCTTTGTCTAGGCCTCTCCCACGCTAGCTCTCTGGGGCCGGTTCTCTTTTGACCTTTCTCCTTGTCTTCTGGCCTCTTGTCTGGCTTGCTCTCTCTCTCTCTGGCTCCCACTCTGTCTACAGTGCCGTTTTGTTGCTTCTTCCTTCCCTGTGTTCTCTCTCAGGTTCCTCTTTTCTTAAGATGGTCTTTTCTACTCATAGTCCTTGGGACTCTCCCTCTGTCCTCCAGGGACCTTTCCTGACCCAGCACAGTTTCCTATTTTACTCTCTTTGGTTCTGTCTTTATCAAGTTCAGTTTCTCTGGCCTTCACTCTTCTTTACCACAGAGAAGTAACTTTAAGGAAACAGTTCACAGAGGAAGATAGAGTGATACAAGTTCTGAATGAGAATTCATTAAATACTAGAATGTGGGGAAAAAGAGAAGGTGCTGGTGAACCATGGATAGGGAAGAAACACCACAGGAGTAGTCCTAAAATAAAGAAGATTCACTGATGGGGATAAGGAGTTGGGAGGGGCGGGTGTGAGGCATTCTCAAGAGCCAACTGTGTGCAAAAGTTAGGAAGAAAAGTGAGCACCACAGAGAAAGACACAGAGAAGAGGACTCTTGGGAGAGAAATGGAAACAAAGAGAAAAGGAAAGAAAAAATATTTTAAAATTAGAGCAACAGAAAAAAAAGACAGAGGATAAAACCCCATACACTGAGAGAACAATGGCAGAAACTCCAAAGATGGGGAGCAAAAAGGAGGGAGAAGCTAAGACAAAGAAAGTAGAAAGAAAAAGGGGGTGCTATTGGAAAAGGGCCAGAGTCAGACAAAGAGCCAGAGACAGGCCAAGGCTCACTCAGGGACACTTGAGGGGCACTGGAACAAAGAGAAAGAGAGAATGACAGTGAAGAAAAGGATGGAACATGCCAATTCCGAAGGAGCAAAGGACACTCATAGTAAAGATGTGGAACAACCTACAGGAGAAAAACTTGGTGTCAGAGAGAATCCTACAAATTGAGACAGGTAACCAGATGCTCACAGAGAAACAGCCAAAGGCAAACTGACTGAAGAGGGACAGACAGAGGAAGAGAGGGCAGGACAAAGATAGTGAATTGTATCAACAGAGTGCCAGAGACACCCAGAGTCCAGATAGGAAGAGAGCAAGGCCACAACACAGAGAGAGAAAGGAACAACAAGGGGAGAGGGGGAGACAGCAAAGAAAAGGGAGCCAGGGAACCATGGGAGAGTGGAAGGCTCTGCCACTCACACAGTGAGGGGAGTGGTGAGGAGGGGAGTGGTGAGAAGCGGACATCAGGGTCAGAGGGGGCCCTATCAGACAGGGCCTGATAGTGGGTGGGTGAATACTAGGAAATGGGACAACACCTTTGGTAGGAGAGAAAGCACCTCAGAACAAAGCCCAAGCTGCAGGCATCCTGCAGGCGCACAGGGCTCTCTCCCTGGATGTGCAAGGCTCCTCTTCACCTCAGTTACTAAGCCTAAACTCAGGCCTCAGATCAGGATGGGGCAAGAGCTGCTAATGTTTAAGGAAAGATCAAAGAAGAACTGGTATTAGTTCCAGAAGAATCGGGATCGGTTCCAGTAAAAGCAGAGAAGGGCTAAGAAAAAAGTACTGCAGAACCAGGCAACACAGTGTATCATCTGATTAACAGAGAAGAAAAACACGTACCCTTTCTTCCTCTAGCATTTCGCTTCTCTTTTTTTCTGCAGATATTCTCCGTTGTTCATCTTTTTCTTTCTGTTCCCTCAGCTTTCGCTGTTTCTCTTCCATCTGTTTTTCATATACGATCTTAGACTTTCTTTCTTTTTCAAGTCGTTGTGTCTCTCTATTAGCTGAAATATTCCAAATGCAAGGTAAGAGCCAAGAAAAAAACTGTTTAAGTTTTCCACATTACAGAGAGAGAAGGAAAGTTAATGTATTTTATTCTCTTTCTTAAAAATAACATAACCTGTGCTAATAATTAAAGATTTATTATATAAATGACCAGAGATGGCCATGAAAGAATCATTTCCACTGGGTATTCATTTAACTCCTGAGAACTGAATTGGCTTAAATGACTCTCCTCCTGTCTGAACTAAAATTCCAAATTCAAAAGAAATATTTTCTTTCATGTGATGTTTCTGCTGACTTGAGCTGAGAAGTCAAACCCCATCAGATTAATATGCTGTACATTAAAATAAGAATTAAAAAACACACGGCCAGAATATATGGCTTTTTCTTCTAATATGAAACTTCTTTTTAAAGGCCTCATCTAAACAGACCATATTAAGCATGCCAATTTGACCTTCATGGGCTTAGGCACATACCACATTACTGACCAGCATGATGTTTTCCTACATTCAAATTTCCTCTCACTAAAGCCTGGAGAGCACCCATGCAGTTGCAAAAATACTCTTCTAAAGAGCTACAGGAAGAAACTGCTCCTCACCACAACAGAGGCAACTGCTATTCCATTTGAATGAAGGTGAGCACTAGTTTTGCAGTGGATTTACAGGGCCAGATGAGGAAAATACATAGCTGAAAAAGCATTCTCTCAAGATTATGGTTCTTTTAGAAAAGGATATTAGATTCTTTTAGATCTTAATTGATACAAAGTCACACTTGAGAAAGCACAGCAATCAGTGAAAGACACCAAATCTATAGTAAGATTATTAGCAAATTCATTTATGTTTTTGGCCATGCCATGGCTTGTGGGATCTTGGTTCCCCAACCTGGGATTGAACTCCAGGCCTCTGGCAGTGAAAGCACAGGGTCCTAACTACTGGACCTCCAGGGAATTCCTTCATTTTTGTTTTCAGAGTCATTTTTACTGAAATCCCATTTTGCTTGTTTCTACAAATGCTGAAGAAATTTTCATACTTTAGTTTTCAGAAAATTAAAGCTAACAGAAACTACTATTTCAAAAATAAAAAATTTGGCCAAATATTTTTCACGAATCTCCTTTATCTCATTCAGTATATGTTTTTAATCCAATATAACACATAAAATAAAAAGACAGTAACACATACTGCATAAGATATACTATTAAAAAAAGATTAAAAAGTAAAGCCACTTTGAAAATATGTAAACTTAATGTAAAATTTATTCATTTTTATTTTTTAAAAAGCCTAAAATATACCATCATCTTGATTCATTTTGCTGTACAGTATAAACTGATGCAACATTATAAAGTAACTATATTCCAATAAAAATTAATTTAAAAAGTACCATCATCTTGTCTTTTTTTCTCTTCTCTCCGCTCCTTTGCTAATCTTTGTTTTATGTTTTTGAGTGAAAGAGGCTTGGTGTAGAGGGCCTGCCTGGAAGTGAAGACTGTGGTCCAACTAGTGGGAACCAGGCACACAGGATCCTCAGGGGGCTCATTTGCTTGAACATCCTCCCCAGCTCCCCCCACACGTACATGGCAGCCTTGGGGACTAGACTGCTCAGGCCGCAGGGATGAGACAGCAGCCCCGGGGATTGAGGCCTAAGGGGAGTAGAGGAGACATTTATTTCTGGCTTCCTATCATGGAATTTTTATTCTCTATTGGAACATATTGATTTAGAGTGTTGTGTTAATCACAGGTGTATAGCAACTTGATTCAGTTAACATATACACGTGACTGTCTTTTTAGGGTTCTCTTCCATAGCGTTTATGAGAGGGTATTGAATAGTTTCTTATTTATAGAGCACATCCTTTTTCATTATTCTTTTTCTCTGTCTGTGTACGTATCTGTATAGAAGAGTATATGGGTTAAGCCCAAACGTCTCAGTTATCTCTCCACAACCACCTGGTCTTCCCATTTGGTAAGGGAAGTTTCTTTTCTAAGCATCTTCTTCTGTTGATCCAAGAGTTTGATTGCATCCATCATGAGATTTCAGCTATAAGTGCTATCACATGCTTTTTGTCTTCGTCCGATGACCTGACTCAGCCTGATCATCTCCACGTCCCCGTCTTTGTTGCAGCAGCTGGCACCACTTCATTCCCGTGTGTGGATCAGTCACAGCCCATGAACGTGTGCAGCACATCTTTAGCCTCCTTGCTTCCGTGGCTTGAGGTTCCTGTTGTTTGCGTGCCTTGGCTGTTGTAAACAGCCCCATAGAGAACACTGGGATGCATGTGTGTCCTGGAGGGGTGCTTTTCCTAGGGTCTAGGCCCCAGAGGCAGGCTGCAGCATCCTAGGCTGCTTTTTGTTTTTAAAGGAGCCTGCATGCACTTGTCCCTGGCGGCTGTTGTCGAGTGCATCCCCCGCTGAAGCCTAGGAGTGCTCCCTGGTCTCCTGGCCTTCTGCAGGACTTATTGTTTGTACATTTCCCGCTAACTGCTACTGACCAGAGCTCCTTGTCGTTCTGGTGTGCCTTCCTCTTTCATTTGGGCCACCCAGGATTTTCACAGGAGGGGGATTTGGATTTCCTTCCTATTTTTTTAAGTGTAAGCAAAAGTTCGCCGTTTGAAATCGGCTCCTGAAGGCCGGCCTTCTTCTGAATTAGGTTTCTGCGGCCTCCCTCGTGTCATTTCTCCAGCAAAGGGATCGTTCAGAGCGGAGCAGCTCTGGTGGATACGAAATGCCCACGGGTCCTGGGTTTGGGCTGTTGTTTCCAAAATGGCCACAAGGGGGCAGCACTTACTCGTGCCCCGCTCTGCGTACCGGGGAAACCTGGGCCCTGGCAAAAGGTGTTCCTGGGCAGGAAATGATTGTGGAAAGGGCAGAACAGACCGAGAGGGCCAGAGTGGCATTCCTTCTGCCCCTTACCCTTCTCCCTCCAGACCTATCCTATCCCCTGCCAAAGTCTTATGCTGAGGCAGCTGTCCTAGGCAGGTGGAGCCTCTCTAGGGAGAGAGGCTGGAAGTAGGAACACTGAGCAAAAGAGGGGAAGATAGGGTGACTTTTCAAACCTCTTCCAACAGACAGAGTCCACCATTTTCTAGGTGCAAGAGGCTTGCTTTATGTGTAGCGGGACCACGTGAATTTTAAGGTGGTCCCATCTATTGGGTCAGGCAGTCAAGATATTACTGTGGTCCTTGGCGGGCACAACCTTTCCAGCTCCCTCATGAAGACCTCAGCTTGACCCGGAAGTCAAGCCCAGTACAGCCCAGGGGTGAGCGAGCACAGGGGTCGGAGACCTGAGGAGAACGCAGCAGACGCTGGGTTTGGGGTTTTTCTTCTCGAGTAATTTTTATTTTCTGTTGGAGTCAGTCCTTAATTTAAACCAGAGTCTACCCTGAATGTGGTACTCATTTTGGCCTGACTCTGGTCCACACTCAGATCTATAGATGGTTCACACTTAGGCTTGAATCTATACACACTGAGGCCTGACTGTGTCTAGACTGGGCCTGACCCTGGTCCACGCTGAAGGCTGACTGTGGTACTCACTAGTCCACACAGAAGCCTACGTCTGGTCCACCCTGAGGCCTGACTCTGGTCCACACCTAGGTCTGGCCCTGGTCCACAGTCAGGCCTGCCTTTGCCTCTTACAGAGGGCTGTTTCTCATCCACACTCAGGCCTGGCCCCGGTCAAACTGAGGCCTGACTGTGGACCACTCTGAGGCTGCACTCTGGTCCACACAGGCCTGACCCTCATCCACATTGAGTCCTGAATTTATACGCACTGAGGCCTGACTCTGGTCCACAGTTAGGCCTAACTCTGGTTATCACTGAGGCCTGGGTCTGGTCCAAACTGAGGCCTGACTCCAGTCCTCACTTAGGCCTCACTCTGGTCCACACTAAGGCCTCACCTTGGTCCAACAAAGGCTCGACTCTGATCTGGTCCACACTAAGGCCTGACTCTGATCCACTCTGAGGCCTGACTCTGCTCGAGACCGAGACCTGACACTGGTCTACACTCAGGCCTGACTCTGGTTCATCACTGAGGCCTGAGTCCAGTCCTCACATAGGCCTCACTCTGCTACGCTCTAATGCCCGACTCCTGGTGAACACTAAGGCCTCTTGTCTACACTAAGGCCTGGCTCTGGGCCACACTAATGCCTGACCCTGGTGCACACTAAGGCCTGACCCTCACAGACACTAAGGCCTGACTGTGGTACTCACTAACATTTGACTCTGGTTCACACTAGGCCTGACTCTGGTCCACCCTAAGGCCTGACTATGGACCACACTAAGGTCTCACTCTGGGGCACACTAAGGCCTGACTGTGGTATCCCCTAGGACTGATTCTGGTCCACAGTAAGGGCTGACGCTGGTCCACAGAAAGGTCTGACTGTGGTGCACACTAAGACCAGACTCTCGTCCACACTAAAGCCTGACTCTGGTCCACAGGAGGCCTGACTCTGGTACTCACTAAGATCTGACTCTGGCCAACACTAAGGCCTGACTCTAGTCCACACCATGGCCGGCCTCTGGTACTTACATATCCCTGACCCTTGTACTCACTTAGGCCTGACTCTGGTCCACACTAACGCCTTACTAAGATCCACACTAAGGCCTGACCCTGGGCCTGACTTATTCTTGACCCTGGTACTCACTCAGGCCTGACTGTGGCCACACTAAGGCCTGATTCTAGTCTTGGGTCTTACTCTGGTCCACGTCAAGGCCTGACTCTGGTGATATCAAAGGCCGGTCTCATCGTAACACAGTTCTAACTGGTCCTCACAAAGGAAGGCCCTAGTCTGTTCCTCACTCAGCCTCTGAGTCAGTCTTCGCTACGGCCTATGCATCTTAAATCAACTCTACTCAAAATAAGTTAAAATCACTGGTGGGCTGCAGGTAAGTGAAAAACCATCACAAAACTTCAAAGCTATTATCCACCAATGAATAGTAAATTTAAAAAATAAACATAGGACTATATACAGTGTCATCTATTTAGCTTCCATGCCTAGGGAGAGATCTGGAGAAAGCTAATATTTTTCTGAAGACAGCTGCACCTCAACGACATTAGCAGCACTAGGAATAATAACCAAGACAGCTAAGCAACGTACGTTACGAGGAGAGATGACAGTAAAGAAGATGCAGTTCAGATACAAAGGCAGTGTTATTCTACTGTAAAATAGGATCAAATAATGCCTTTTCCAGCCACAGCAACTGAAAAACATGCTCACGATCTTGGAGAGATAGCAGTGAACGGTCCTGAAGAGAAATCTTAGCTCCCTGCTCAGTAATTGAACCTGGGTAGCCTGGATGAACACCAGGACTCCCAACCATGAGACCACCAGTGGCCAGAGGCTGGAAGCAAAGTGACCCTGCATCTTTCCCCCGTTTGAAACCAAGACTATTTTAAGGAGGCAAGAGGTGTAAATACATATATAAAGCCCATTATTATGGACACAGCACAACCTGTGGTAGGGAATACAGAAGCCCAGTCTAAGATGGAAGCAGGACAGACACACAGCGGAGGGAAGCCTGGCCTCCCAAGGAGCACAGAAGGAGGTGAGGTAAGTCCCTCACACAGGACAGTCCTTCCGCACCTTTGCTTACCTTTCACCAATCATCTCGTTTCTTTCTTCACACACACCTGACTCGTCTAGGACCCTGCCCAAGATGTGGGCACAACTTTTTGCTAAGATTGACCGCACAGTAGAAGCCTGTGGATGCATGTCCACACTTACTGTGGGGTGGGACCCCCTCCCTTTGTGGCCCCCGAGGAGCCTACCCGCGCTTGTGCAGACAGGGAAGTCCTCCTTGACCTCAGGCGTAGGCACCTTATCTCCTTATCCCAGCAGAGCTCAGCCTCTGCCATTACCTTGAGTGTCTGGGTGAAAACAAAGCTTCAGCTTCACTCCACTTGACAAACACCAGCAGTCCAGCCCAGAGGCCGCTCTATCTCCCACCTCAAATCCCTCTGAGAGACATGAACCCCAGAAATCTTTATTGGGAGGCTGAAGGGTGAAGGTCTCTCTCCTGTAGTTTCTTCAAGCTGGCGTGGGGCTCGCAGACCCTACCTCGCTGGGCCATGGAGCTCTCAGCCTGTCGCGTTTAGTGGCCTCAGAGGGGCTTCTGCTGTTATTCCTGAAGGATCTGTTCTGAGGATTCGCTGGAATCTCTGCATCACCATCATCTTAATGTGAAACTGTAGTAATCTGAAAGAGACAAATTTAAGACATAGATTTTAAAAGGCAGGAGCCAAAGATCAGTAAAAGAATTATTTTGACCAGGGGCCCAAGCAAGAGTAAGAACCAGGTTGCGTTTTTTAGAAATTTCAGTCCTGGTCCAGATATAGAGTCAGTCCTTGTGCTACCCTAGCCAAAGGAATGGAACCTTTTGTTGTGGTCTCACATATTTTTGGTGTCATTTTTACTAGCCCAGAGTGACTGATGTAGGTATGACAGGCCTCTCAACTTCAGTAGCTGGGTAAGTGACAACCTGAACATTAATATACAAAATTGATCTCATTTATTTCCAGGAGAATAAGCTTGAATCCCATAAACCTGTCATTTCAAGGAGACGTGCAGGCTTGTAGCCAGTTGTCTAGTTTTATCTAAGTTGGTTTTAACCTTTGACGTATTATTAACACTTAAACCAAAGCATCTTCCCCTTGGTCCTTTAATGCAAATCTTTTGCCACCTTTGAGATCTATATTTGTTCTATTTTTTCCCCATTTATAAACAACCAACTGTAGAACAGAATTATTATCATTATTTTTTTTATAACAAAAACATCTCCAGTCTTTATATCTTCTCTCGCTGACAACATACATCTTACTTGCTTTATGCACCAAAATCTTTTCCTTGTCACTTTAGTAGCTTTGATTCCATATTGTAATTTTTAACCTTTAAAAAACCTTAACTCCTAGTGAAAACCAAGAAGAAAGCAATTGTGAACTTTTTATCATATTGACATTCTCTAATTAGCAAACTCGGGAACATATTTTAGAATCTCTAAAAACATGTATTTTTCCGAAGTTCAATTTCTTTTCTCAATGTAATACAAGGCATGTGTCTAATAAGCCCAAACATCTTTGGTTTTTTTCTTGTATTTAGAATTATGTGATTTGTAAGTACTTACTTTTCTTTAAATCAGTTAAATAGAGCTCACTTACAAATTAACCTCAGCAATATTATCCAAAAACAAAGACACACACCGAGGCATACATAAATCGAGACAGACAGAGATCTCATAGTTTTCCACTTAAGATTTATTACAAAATGTCTCTTGCCTCTTTTCTTTTCCTTGGCTTGATTTTCTACTGATTTACCCAAGGCTGAAGTCTAGGTAAAGTGGGCTGTGTATCTCCCAGTCAAGATAAAAACTTCAGGCTTTTTTCTTGGTATATTTTTGTTTTCTCAGGGTCAGAGTTCGGAAAAAAAAAAGTCTTTCAACAAGCCAGCTTTTCCTAATCGAACAGCTTTTCCTAATTGCAAAAGGAACCAGTTTTGCAATTTAAAAAAAGTTCCATTTTAACCCATTTTCTCTGGAATCTAAAAAATATCATGCCATCTAGTGTCAAAAAAAGTCACCTCTCCTTTCTGTAGTCCTAGTTTCATAGCTAACATACAGACCAAACATGCTCAGATTGGCCCTGATAACAGCAGCAGACTGGCTGATAAAGCGTTGTCCCAGCAGGGACTTTCCCTCTGGGAGCCAGGGTCTTAGTTTGATCAGAAGGGTCTGAAGGAATAAGGGAACATGCAAGAATAGGGGAAGCTTGGTTCTTTTCCCACTTTCTCCTCTCACTGCTGTACATCAAATAGATAATCAAAAAGGACCTACTGAATAGCACAGGAAGTCAACTGAACACACTGTGATAATCTATATGGGAAAAAAAAAGAATAGACATATGTCTGTATATAACTGACTCAATTTCCTGTACACCAAAAACAAACACGATATCGGAAATCAGGTCTACTCTGATAGAAAATAAAAAATTACAAAAAAAAAAAAAAAGAGAGAGCATGATGAAATGCTGCCGCCTTGTGGGCACTTTTGGTAACAACAACTGAAAAGCCTGGGCTGATGGGCACTTAATATTCACCAGGTCTGTGGGGGCTTCCCTTGTGGCTCAGCTGGTAAAGAATCCGCCTGCGATGTGGGACACCTGGGTTCGGTGCCTGGGTTGGGAAGATCCCATGGAGAAGGGAACAGCTACCCACTCCAGAATTCTGGCCTGGAGAATTCCATGGACTGTATAGTCCATAGGGTGGCAAAGAGTTGGACCCGACTGAGTGACTTTCACTTTTCACTTCCATTCAATAAATGTCCTCAGGTGGGTCCTGGAAAGAGTATTCAAAAGTGAAGAAGCCCACCTTGACTTGAGAGGTATGTTTTACTCACACTCTTTAAAAATAATCACATGAAAAGATTTTATATCTCTAAATCTTATAGAAATGCATATCAAAACTGCAAACTACCTCAGATTGGCCTCTGGCAAAAAGTCTACAAACAATAAATGCTGGAGACGATGTGGAGAAAGGGGAGCTCTCCTACACTGATGCTGGCAAGGTAAATTGTTAACAGCCAGGAAGGAGGACAGGTGGAGGTTCCTTAAACAAGTGGAAAGAGAATGACATTAGGACACTCCCTAAACCCACCCAGAAAAAACATACTCCAAATCAATTAAAGATCTAAATGAAGGACAGATACTATAAACCTCTTGAGAAAAACACAGGCAGAACATGCTTTGATATAAATCACAGCCAGTTTGTTTTGGATTCATTCTTAGAATAATGAAAAACAAAGCTAAACAAATGGGACCTCATTAACCTTAAAAGTATTTGAGCAGCAGGGTAAACCATAAATGAAAGAAAAAGACAGCTCTCAGAATGGGGGGAAACAGTGTTTAGAAATGGAGATATCCACAACAGGCAAACACCTCGTGCAGCTCAAGATCAAAAAACAAACAACCCAACAGAAAAATGGGCCACAGATCTAACAGACATGTCTCCAGAGAAGGCAGCCAGGCGGCCCCAAGCACCTGAAAAGGTGCCCAGCATCACCAGTCATCAGAGAAATGCAAACCAGAAGTTCAGTGACATATCACTTCACGCCAGTCAGCATGGCCATCTCAAAAATTCGACAATAAATGCTGGAGGGGGTGTGGAGAGAAGGGAACCCTCCTACACTGTGAGTGGGAATGTAAATCAGTACATCCACTCTGGAGAACAGTATGGAGGGTCTTTGAAACACTCAACAAAGAAGTACCAAGTGACCCAGCCATCTCACGCCTGGGTGTGGATCCTCAGAAAACCGAAGTTTCAAAAGATACTGCATGCCAACAATCATGGCAACACTAGGTACAATAGCCAAGATACAAAAGAAACCTAAGTGTAGAAGGACAGGTGAATGGATAAAGAAGATGGGGCATGCATACACAAGGCAGTATTACCCCCATAAAAAGGATGAAAGAATGCCACTTCCAGCCACAGAAAAGAACTAGAGATGATCACTAACTGAGACAAAGACAAGTATCACATGTTATCACTTCTAGGTGGAATCCAAACATGGATACAATGAACTTCTTTACAAAACAGATTAAACAGCTTTACAGACTTAGTAAAGAAACTCATGGTTACCAAAAATGAAAGGTGTCGGGGCAGGGAGAAATTAGCAGGTTGAGAATAACATATACACACTACTATTTACAAAATAATCCACAAGGACCTACTGTGGAGCACAAGGAACCCTACTCAACAATCTTTAACAACCTATTGAGGGCAGGAGGAGAAGGGGACAACAGAGGACGAGAAGACTGGATGGCATCACTGACTCAACGGACATGAGTTTGAGTAAGCTCCAGGAGTTGGTGATGGACAGGGAGGCCTGGCGTGCTGCAGTCCATGGGGTCACAAAGAGTCAGACACAACTGAGCAACTGAACTGTCTGACTGAACTGATGAGAAACGAACTTGAAAAGAACGTATACACATCTACATACAAATTAATTAAGTTGTTATACACATAAGAGAAAAGGGGGCTTCCCAGATGGTGCTAGTTCTTAACCAGAACCCACCAGTGAAAGCAGGCAGACATAAGAGTCGTGGGTTCAATCCCTGTGGTCAGAAGATCCCCTGGGGGAGGGCCTGGCAACCCACTCCAGGATTCTTGCCTGGAGAATCCCATGGACAGAGAAGCCCGGTCAGTTATGATCCATCAGGTCCGAGAGTCGGATAGAGACACTGAAGCTACTTAGCACACAAATGAAAACCCCAAAGCAAATGCAAATCACCTACACACTGGGATTCAAAAAAGACAGACAGACAAAAGGACTGCTGCCTCTCTTCCCCTCAGGCCTTGGGTACCTGGGCTGGTGTCACATCCCTGGAGCCTGAGCAGGCTTGGGTCCCCAGGCTGGACTGTGGTGGGGCTGAGGGAGCTGGGGAGGGTGTCCAGGGCCCCTGCCACTCTCCATGGACTTCCTGTTCCCCTCTGCACGAGGCCACACTCTCCAGACCCAGGGGGGCCCTCCTGCAGCAAAGCCAAGCCTAGTGCCCCCAGAGGATGGTGGGGTCTCTGGCCTGGAAGAGCTTTGCAAAGTCCCCTGGGCTAGATGTCTCCTGCCGGTGGGGTTCCCACCTCCAGCCTCCTTCCTTAGGGTCGCCCACTTGAGGAGGACAGCACCCTCAGCAGAGTGGCGGCAATCGCTGGGATGTGTATGGGGGATGAAGACTAAGGGGGAAGAAGTAAAGTAACACAAGCCTTGGGTGTTTCCATTCCAGTTGACAACCAAGGAACTGGACTTGCCCCAAGGCTCTGGTTGCCCAGGTAGCTAGAGTTGGGCATGAAGAAATGCTGCCGCCTTGTGGCCATTCCTTGTAACAACCACCTGAAAACCTGGGCTGATGGGCTCTTAATATCCACAAAGCAGTCACGGCTGGAAATGACACCTGCCCTCAAGAAATGCCCCGGGACAAATCACCGGAAAAGAATTCAAAACAGGGCTAACTTGAAGTCAATTTCAAGAGGGTAATTGTACTCACACAGTATAAGGTTAAAAGCTCACAGAAAGATATTCAACATCAATAATTAGTAAAGAAATGCAAATTAAAACTAGGATCAGGTGTCACCTCACATGGCTCAGAATGGCCATCCTCAAGAGATCCTCAAAGGTTAAATGCTGCTGAGGGTGAGGGGAACAAGGAACCATC